GGTACATATATACAATGGAATCTTACTCAGCAACCAAAAAAGAGAAACACATGTCTTTTGCAGCAACTTGGATGGAACTGGAAAAGATCATGCTTAATGAGATAAGCCAGAAAGAGAAAGAAAAATACCAATGGTTTCACTCATAGCAGGAGTATAATGGACCAGGCGAGAAAATCACAAAAATAATGAATAACCATATGCCAGAGACATTTTGCAGGGGTGGAGTGGGGAATGGGATCAAAAACGGGCAGTGGGGGGGGGAGGTAATGCACAGGATTATGGTGATGGCACATGGGTGACTTGGTGATGGGAAACCCGTGGGGATTACAATTGAGATGGAAAAAAAAATGTACAAAATGATGTAAAAATAAACTGTTATAAAATAAAAAAGTAAAAAAAAGAGAGATCTAGAAAGAATGGAAATACTAACTCGTGTGGGAGGCGGAAACAGGGAAGGACTTGGAGTAACTGACCTGTAACTCCAGTGGGGTCACGTGAGCGGAGGTTTCCTTGAGATGTGCAGTCGCCATGGGAAAGAGCAGCAGTCAGCAGATTAGAACCTGCAGGCCAAAGGCGGCCTTCCATATGTTTGGGGTTTTTAAGTGAAATTTTACATAGTATGAATGAAGATGGCTCTTCACAGAGAAAGTTTGCTGACCCCAGAAGAAGAATTGCAGCATTTGAGATTTGGTGGCCACTGCTAGAATGACAGTGAGGAGCTGGGCTGGCCATGCTGCCTGAAAAGTAGGAGGGGGGGTCACTGAGAGATACTAGGCACTCTGCAGCCAGGGTGTGCCTGTGACCACCAGGGGTGCCCAGATGCCTTGCTGTGTCCAGAGGCTGAGGGTGCTGAAGGAAGGAGCTCAGGGCCTGCAGTCCTGGCACCTCCAGAGAACAAGCAGAGTTGCTAGATGCCTTGGCCCTGAGTCTGTTAGCCCCAAGGGAAGGTAGCCAGGTGTTCACTGACCCCCCCTGTCTACCCAGAACCCCCAAAGAACTCCCTGTCTCCAACCCCCTCCAATGAGTAGCACCTGGAAAGGGTAAGCATTGGTCTGTGGGCAGGAAGTGATCACAGGTGCTCACATTCTGGTAAATGTGTGGCACTAGGTGAGAATATAGGGTAGTGGGGTTCAGAAGGACACAGCGTGGGAGCAACCATTGAGCTCTTAAAGGTAGTGGGGTGCATGAGGCTGAGCTGTCGAGGAATAGACCCTGCCAGCCCCCACATGTTCATGTGAGCCTAAGTACTCTGGGTAAAAGCATTTGTCCCTTTCCAGGCCAAGTACCACACTGAAGTTCAAAAAAAGTGTTCCTTTTCCTAAGGAACCACCCATCCAGCTCCCCTAAAACCAAATTCTGGTCCTCCCAGTGATAATAGCAGTGAAGTCCTATTCTGTAAGGTCCTATTCTCCCTCCCCAGGTCAGGGGGCCTGGATTCCAGTTACACTTCTCTTTCTATTACAGCCATCCAGGTGATAGAGTTTAGAGACCAGGGGACTGCAGTGGTCTATTCCTTGTCTTGGAATTGCTCTGCTCTTTTATTTATTTATTTATTCATACAGAACTGGGGTACAGACCAGAGATGTGAAGAGTGAGAGAATTCACAAGGGACAGAGTGGGGAGCAGAACAGGCAGATCGAAGAAGTACACTGCTGAGGGGAGCAGCGGGCGGGTCAGGAGAGGTCTGCCTCGCCATGTGGTCACCTCTGGGGCAGGCAGGGATCGAACTCATGCGGAAGTGGCTCAAGCTTCCTAGTGCTGTGCTTTAACCCACTGCCCCACCAGGGAGGGCCGGAATTGCTCTGCTCTTTCTTGTTTTTAAAACAAATAGCACTGGTTATTCTGAACTTAAAAGGTAGTTTTTTTAAGGTTTATTTTTATTATGCATACAAGAACTAGGATGTAGACCAGAGATGGGGGGGGGGAGGGGCGGTTGAGGACTCACCAGAGACAGAGTGGGGAGCAGAACAGGCAGATTGAATGAAATACACTGCTGAGGGGAGCAGCGGGCGGGTCAGAAAGGGTCATTTTTTTGATGAGTGGAAAGATTCATTCTCCCTCAAATACTGTTGTGGTAAAAAGGATGAATTGGGTGTTGAAGTGATTCTGCTGAGGTGTCAGAGCCCTGTGTGCCCTGGAGCTTTGTGTATGTTGCCCCCCGCTCCTCTGTTTTCCTTAGTGGGTCCCCAGGTAGTCCAGCAACCCTAGCAGGTTCATAGGTCTTCCTCACCTCAGCCTGTTGGGAGCCCATTGCAGCCCCCAAACAGGAGGAAGGCACAGGTGGAACACTGCAGTCCTAATTCACTTTCTTTTCCATCTTGTTCTGCAGGGGTGTTTCTTCAATAGATCTTCCCCCCATCCAGTTCAAGACTATGCGCACAGCAAGCTCATACACCATCAGTCCAGGACAGGCCCTCAACTGAATAGTTTGCAGCTCCAGCAAATAGGGTTCCTCAGGGGGCAGTTCTCAGAAGCGCCTCTAACTGGAAAGCAGGCACCATCCCTGTTGCCATTCCTTCCTGGACCCTGGCCAAGGATTCCAGGACCATCTGCTAGAGGCAGGCATCTGGAACTCTGGCGTGTCCCCAGGGGTGTGCCTCTTAGAAATCAGGTGCCCCAGATAGAGTTCCAGCATCCTCCCCAACGTGGCAGGACTCTGCCATGGAGAAACGTTGATAGGCTTTCCTCAAATTTTCGTGAACTGAACATTAACCAGGATCAGGAACTGAGGATCTTAGAGCTCTTGAAAGAGCTTGGAGAAAGGACGGCCACCACAGCAAGTGATTTGGCTCACAGGCTCAGAGCCCCAAAGAAAGAAATCAATCGCATTTTATACTCTTTGGCAAAGAAGGGTAAGCTACATCAGGAGGCAGGGCTGCCCCCTTTGTGGAGAATTGCAGTCTCCGTTCCAGCCGGGTGGCAGGATAGCCAAGAAACAAGAGCAGACAGCCAGAGAGCTCCACACTCAGACCCCTCTTTGGAAACTGAAGACAGAAGCCCCACACCTGACTTGGAAGAGCCTCTTGAGCCCTCTGATATGGCTGAGATCAAGGAGAAAATCTGTGACTACCTATTCAACGCATCCAATTCTTCGGCCCTAAACTTGGCTAAAAATATCGGCCTCAACAAGGCCCGGGATGTAAATGCCATGCTGATTGACTTGGAAAGGCAGGGGGATGTCTATCGGCAAGGGACAACCCCACCCATTTGGTATTTGAGTGACAAGAAGCGAGAGAGGATCCAAATCAAGAGGAACATGAACAGTGTCCCTGAAGCCACTCAAGCTGCTATTCCTGAGGCCAAAAGAAACACAGAACTCCCCGCCTGTACCTTACCCGCATCAACTGCCTCAAACAGCGTGGTGACCACTCCAGAAAAAGTGGAGAACGGGCAGGAACCTGTCATAAAGTTAGAGAACAAGCAAGAGACCAGACCAGAACCCACAAAACTGAAACCGCCTGTCCATGACAATGGCCCCTCAAGAACAGGGTATGTTGACTTTGAAAATGGCCAGTGGGCCACAGATGACATCCCAGATGACTTGAATAGTATCCGCGCAGCGCCAGGTGAGTTCCGTGCCATCATGGAGATGCCCTCCTTCTACAGTCACGGCTTGCCACGGTGCTCGCCCTACAAGAAGCTGACCGAGTGCCAGCTGAAGAACCCCATCAGCGGGCTGTTAGAATATGCTCAGTTCGCTAGTCAGACCTGTGAGTTCAACATGATAGAGCAGAGTGGACCACCCCATGAACCTCGGTAAGAGACCACGCAGGAATTGTACCTAGGGTTGGGGGTCAGGCGCTCTCCCGCCTGACGCAGTCTCAGTGACTCGTGAGCGTTGTCGTTTGGTGACCCTGTCTTTTCCCTCTTCCTTTCTGCCTTTGGGCAAAATCACCCTGTTCGGCCCTCTCTTCAGATCTTGAGTGGGGAATCTCAGACCTGCTAAAGTCTTGGCTGAGCAAGGGGGAGGTTGAGTATTGGCTAAAGTGAAGCTTCTCTGGAGATGATTTGCTTTCATGCATCCATGTCTTGCCTGCCTCTGAAAGCCAGCAGTAACGAAGACTTGACGCCCTCCCCACCCCTTCCGTGCCATCCTCCCTTTCCCCCAAGCTGAGCTCCCCAGAGAGGTGCCAGAACAGGTGGTTTGGGGCAGTCTGCACACAGAGTAATGGTGGGTTGTGCTGCTTAGCAGCAGCAGGTCCAGAATCCGCACTCTGCTCAGCTCCTGAAATGAAAGGATGGTGCACACTGCCTGCCAATTGAAGGTGGGGTTCTAATTTTACACACCTCCTCTGCACAGATGGGCGGGCTAGCACTCTCTGCTCCTAAGCTGTGACTCAGGAATTGCCTCACTCAGACAGCTGGCTGGGCCTTGCACCATAGGTTCCTCCAGACTGAGGAGGACTGGTGGGTCCAGGAGGTGCTGGAGGTGCTGAAGGGCCTAGCAGTGAGCCCTGACCACTGCCGGAAGGGGCCATGCGCCACAGAGCCCATGCGCCACAGAGCCCCAGGGAGGGCAGGAGAGAGCATGCGGCCTGGCTCTTTTGTGTTAACCCATGCGGCATGGCCCTTTGTGTTAATAACCTCCATGGTCGGCATGGCCCTTTGTGTTAACCTCCATGGTCGCAGGGTGAGGACCTCCAGCTGTGAAGGCCGCCCTAGCATTCAGAGGAGCAGAGGAGAAATGGTGGGGATGTCCAAAATCTGGCATGGCCAGAACCTCATTGTTTCAGTTTGGAGTGGAGCCTGGATGGCCGGCTTCACTTTCTTTTCTCTCCACCCCTTTCCCCAAAGTTGGAAATAGTAGGGGGCTTTGTGGTTAACCTTTCTTTGGACTCCAGCTGTGAGAATCATGGATGCCAGGTTCAAATATTTCAGAAGACCTAGGAAGTAAGAAATTTGACCTACTTTTCTAAATGAAATCTCAGATTGAACAAAGAGCTGAACAAATTGGAAAGCTTGAACAAAAGAGACCTAAGCTAAGTCCAGAGGCCTAGAAAAATGCCTTTTGGTTTTCTGCATAACAGAGGGAAATACTTTCATCTCACACTTCAAATAAAGCAATAGAGTGACTCAACAAACCGTGAGAGTGCTGTGTCTCTGAGAACAGGTTGGGGACAGAAACAGGCCCTGAGCAGTGGCAGGTGTGTAATCCCTGTGGGTGACGGGGGTGTGAGGATGCACAGCAGGAGGCCTTCGCGTCCTTCTAGGAACTGCCCGCGAGGCGGCCATTCCACTACAGCCGCTTAAGAGGAAGGCTTTCTGGTTGCTGACAAGACTGTGACAGCGATCTTAGCTCACCATTTTTAGTGTAGACTTTGTCCTAATTCATTGTTAAAAGAGAGTGGGTTTCCCCTGAGCTAGTTTCATCTCACTTGTGGCTGTGTTTGCTTGAATGAGCTCTGGGGAGAGACTTACTGGCTGCTGTTTCCAAAAAGTAGGAACAGGTTGAGCCTCCGTGGGGACAGGAGTCCCTTGGCATACCCTCCATCTCCTCCACACGCCAAACGCCCCTTAGTGTAGCAGAAAATTCCAGAGTGAAGATCTCTGGACAGGGCAGAAGGGATGGCCTAGACTAGTGTTCACACATCTAATCACTTTCCATCAAGATTTAAATTCCAAGTTGTCATCAGTGGCCGAGAGTTTCCCCCAGCTGAAGCTGGCAGCAAGAAAGTGGCCAAGCAGGATGCAGCTATGAAAGCCATGACAATTCTGCTTGAGGAAGCGAAAGCCAAGGACAGTGGAAGATCAGAAGAGTCATGCTACTACTCTGCAGAGAAAGAATCGGAGAAGGTAGGTGGCCTGCCCGCTGGGAGGAAGCCGCTGGATTTTAACTGGCCCTCTGGCTGCATTCTCGGCCTACGCAGCCTGACTGTGTATCTGAGTCAGCTTCCTCCTTGCCCTGTTCCCCGGGCTCCCCAGCCTGCCTTTCCTCCTTGTGCACATGGAGGAGAGTTCCCTACTCGCCCCCTTCCAGCCTACCTGGAATCATGGAATTTCTGAGTTGTAAGAGACTATACAGGTTATGAAGTCCAGGTTCCTCTCTCTCCGCAGATAAGAAATGAGACAGAACATGTGAATAACTCAGCCCTCCTTGTGCTCCTTTGCCCCTAACAAGTAGTAGAACTAAAGCAGGTTCCCCTCTTCTCTCTCCCTCCCCCACACCCCCCCCCCAACTCCTCATCCCCTGTTTCCTCCACTCTGGTGGCCCAGCCATTGTTTTCTTAGTGCTTGTTTTTTTTTTTTTTTTTTCTTGTCTTTCATTTTCTCCAGACTGCAGAGTCCCAGCCCACCACCCCTTCAGCAACATCCTTGTTTTCTGGGAAGAGCCCCGTCACTACATTGCTTGAGTGTGTGCACAAGCTGGGGAGCTCCTGCGAATTCCGCCTCCTATCCAGAGAAGGCCCTGCCCATGACCCCAAGTACATCTCTTGTATCATGTATCTCTGCTGAGGTTTTCTCAAAAAAAGAGAGAGATACATTTTCTTCCTTGCCTTCTCAGAGATGGCAGATTATTTCACTGAGCGATCACTCCTGTTTTCAATATGGAAAAAGGGGGGCCTCGAGGGCATGATTGTTGCTTGTAGAGCACAAAAATCGGGATTAGGATTTCAAAGGGCAAAGCAGGGACCAAGCACTAGGGAGACAGGCAGGCGTGGAGGTTACTGGTGGTGGGAAAAAAGGTACATCGCCTGGGCATACCTGAGAAGCTCTCTGCTCTGAGGTTCTGCACACTACATGTTCAAGAGAAGGGTTCCTGGAGGAGGTGAATGTAGGGTGATGCTTAATGGTTGAATAGGGATCAGCCAGGCTCAGAGAGACTGGGGACAGGAGGAGGGCGAAAGGCACCTGCTCTTCAAGGCAGAAGTGACCACATGAGCTGAGGCACAGAGGTGATGTGTGCAAGGAAATGGCAAGTCGTAAAGGATGGCAGTTCCGACAAAGGCTAGGTAAGTCTCTCTAATCAAAACCATTTTAATCTTTCTCCTTTCATCTGTCAGGTTCCAGTACTGTGTTGCAGTGGGAACCCACACTTTCCCCACTGCCAGTGCCCCCAGCAAGAAGGTAGCCAAGCAGATGGCTGCGGAGGAAGCCATGAAGGCCCTGAAGGGGGAGGCCACCAATTCAACCTCCTCTGATGAACAGGTAGGTGGGGCCATTCTCCTACTACACGGGTACATTTCATGGCTCGTGTGGGCTTCGAACTGCCCATGAATCATTCGCTTTCCTTAAGTATTTATGGTTCCTCTTTGGTTAATTCTCCTTTAGCCCGGAAGTACTAGTTCAGAATCATTCGATAACTTGGAATCTGTGATGCCCAACAAGGTCAGGAGGATTGGCGAGCTTGTCAGATACCTGAACACCAACCCTGTAGGCGGCCTGTTAGAGTATGCCCGCTCCCATGGCTTTGCTGCTGAGTTCAAGCTGGTTGACCAGTCTGGACCTCCTCATGAACCCAAGTGAGTGTTCTGGCTATGGGTGAGGAGGGGACAGAAATGGGTGCATTCGTTGTGACTGTCAGGGACAGCACATTGAGGGAACATCCAGCCTTGACTCTGTGGTCTGCTGAATACAGTCAGTCTTCCAGTAAGTGCGATCCTTTTGCATTTTCTTTCACTAGCCTCATGTAATTAGGCCATCTGTATGTACAGAGAAAACTATTCACGCTGAGAAAGTATGTAATGAAAAGTCTCATTTCCACCTTAGACATCTACTTTCCTTCCCCAGACTCATTCATTGTCACTAGTTTCTTGAGTCCTAGAAATTTCCATGCATATATTAGCACATTTTCTTTTAAAAAAAGTCATATTTTGCATTCTACTCCTTGACTCCTTGTCAGTGTTTTTAGAGAGTATTACCAGTCAGCATAGTTAGATGTACCAGACTTTCTTAACAGCTACATAAATTGACCAAATAGGTTCTTTTTTTTTTTTTAAGATTTATTTATTTATGCATACAGAACTGGGGTACAAGCCAGAGTTGCAGGGGCGGTGAGAGGATTCACCAGAGACACAGTGGGGAGCAGAATAGGCAGACAAAGTACACTGCTGAAGGGAGTAGCAGCGGGTCAGGAGAGGTCTGCTGCACCATGTAGGTCACCTCCAGGACTGGGGCTCGAACTCTCATTGAAGCAGCTGTGGCTAGCTCACAGTGCTGTGTCCTAGCATGTTGCACCATCATGGAGGGCCCCAAATAGATTCTTATATTTAAAAAATTGTTGTACAAAAGAGATATAAAATTGTACTTAACACATAGTTTTAAGTAAGAGAATGCTGTCACCATTGCGGCTCCCACCTTGCATAATTTATTTAACCAATTTCCACTCAACATTTTGATTGGCTTTAGTCTCACTATTAGAAACATGTCTGCAGTGCCAGTCCTCACAGCATATGTCTTTGCTTACAGTCAGAGTTGTTACTAGAATAAATTTCCAGGAGTAAAATGTCTGGACCATAGTAGTTCATACACTACTTTGGGAGGGTAAAAGTAATTTTTGAAAATAAAAAAATTTTATTCAAAGATTAAAAAAATAGAGGTCTCCCTGATGTCTCAGGGGTTAATGTCTCAGTGTTGTCAAGCTGTCAACCGCCACTTCAGCCTGAGTTCAGTCTCCAGCCAGGGAGTGACCCACTAGTGCAGCAGACTACTTGTGTCTCGCCTACTGCTCTGCTCAGCAGTATGTTTCAATACACCTGCCTGTTTACCTTTTCTGCTCCCCACTGTGTCTCTGGTGAATCCTCTCTCCCCACCACACCTCTGGCCTGCACCCTAGTTCTTGTATGCATAAATAAATCTTTTTTAAAAAACAAAAGATTATATATCTATATGCTCATTCTTATTCATTCCTTCTTTGACTCAACCCATACTTTCTCCCACAGATACTGAGGGACATTATTATATGCCCATTAGGAATCTGCATTTAAATCCAAGCAAGCATATTTCCCCTTTTGTTACATAGAAGTATAACTTAGATTAATGTGTAGCCTGCATTTAATACAAAAAAAAGTTATCTTGGAGAATTAATCATATCACTTTATATCCTATCCTTTGTGCATAACTACTAGATTCAGTGTTCAGTGCACAAGTTTCTCATGATTTATTTAAGCAGCCCTGTTAATGAGTAGTTGGATTGTTTCCAGACTTTTGCTATAGTGAACAATGCAGTGATGAATAACATGTTTGTGTGTATTTAAATTCTGGTAAACACTGCCAAATTTTCCTATACTGAGATTGTACCTATTTTTGTAATACATAAGAATGATTCTTTCCCTACCAATGATCAATTTGTTATCAGATTTTTATCTTGGCCATCCTAAAATATGAAAAATGGTGTTATGGTGCAGGGCAAAGGTTAGGATACCGACTTGTATTGTTATTCTCATCGTTACCATTATTTACCATATCAAAAAAGGAGAAAACCATATGACCATTTTTAGAAATTCCAAAAAGGTACTTTCCATTCAGATTAAGTCAGGCCCTTCCTGGTGGTTCAGTAGGTTAAAGCACAGCACGATCAAGCTAGCTGCATCTGCTCCAGCACGAGTTCATCCCTGGCCAGGGAACTGACCCACGTGGCGTGGCAGACCTCTCTTATCCCACCCGCTGTTCCCCTCAGCAGTGTACTTTGTGTATCTGACTGTTTTGCTCC